TTGACACAGAAAATCCACTAAATCGCGAGCACACAAATTGAGCGACCGCACGCCGAGTGACTCAATTGGGTGTTCGAAACCGTTCTGATTTTATGGGATGAATGGGAGTTCTGGCGATGACCTAAGTTCCGGTTAACCAGCTATTCTTGTGGGTTATCCCTATGGACGATGAGACGGTTGTATCGAAAGCTCCTTTGCGAGTGTTGATGGTGTATGCCTAACTTCAACTGATGTGATTGACGAAACTTCGACTTTAATTGAATTTTGTCTAAGCAAAGATTTCAGCTCAAGTCTAGTCATCGTTGTCGTATTAGAACAGTGAGGCAGATAATAAAAAATGCGATGGTCCTTTGCGTGCAATCTTTTCATTTTATCAAGTAAAATCTCACTGTGGACATGCGGAAGTGTTTCGATCTCCAAGCCAAAAATATGCATGAATAAAAAAGAACGACTGTGCAAAATACTGTCAAGTAGTTGAAAGAAGGCCGTACAGAACGACGGGGTTGGAACTGGATTGATTTTGATCATCTGTGTGTGGGTGAATAGGAGCATAAACGCATGTGAGACCGAAAACAGTGAAATAGAGTAAATATATGTGTAAAAGTCTAAAGGCAAAGCTATTTAAACAAGGCCAAGGAACGAGAAATACAAAAGACTAGATCGATCATGAAAGTAGCATGGAGTTATTAGGCTCTGGTGGTTCCAATGTTCCCGTTCGTTTGAAGATGGAACAGACCTCATCATAACGGAACGAAACCCGTTTGTTGATCATCAAGATTCCTTAGTTTACTTACATTTAAGTAACAGTAACTAAAAAATTTAGAGTATCAAGCTTGTATTAGCCCATTCGATTGTTCAGAGGCACCAGGCACTCTTGATGGTGTTCGGTGTGGGTTTCACTCCTTGGGAGATCGTTAATTCCCCACTGTTTGTATGCATTTAAATGCGGCGGAAATGTTTGTGGTAACCAACAAAGAGCACTGAAACCCACACCGAACACCATCAAGAGTGCCTGGTCCCTCTGAACAATCGAATGGGCTAATCCAAGCTTGATACTCTAAATTGATTGAGTCACTCACACAAGGTGATAACCGTGGACCGTGTAGCTCAGGGGTAAGGGTTTGGAGTCCCGACCCGACTGATCGCGGTTCAAGTCTTGACAGGGACACAAAAAGTGCGCACTGCTGGAGAGTCCCAAACAGGACGAAACAGTAACTAACAAGTAAGTCAAAGTACATTTTTAGCGTATTTGTCGGTCCCGAACACTTATTGGCGTTATTTGAGACTGAAGTAGCCGACGAAACGCGTCCGTTTTCACGCATACACGCACACACACTGTCGTCCATATTGTCACGTGCGTACACGAGTTCAAGCTCAGACCAACCGTGGCTCAATATGGACGGATCGATAAACCTTTGAATTACGGAGAGCAGACACCGCAGAATCTTGCGCAAGTTCCCTTTGTAAAATAAGCTCCACCGATTTCCCCTGGAAATGGTAAGTTATTAGGAAATACATTTGATAAAATCGCTTGAGTGTTTACTAAAAAAATCATGATGTTAATACGAGCCGGTATCCACAAGAATACTCGGATTTATTTGGCAAGTACTTTTAGTGGTTTAATATTCTCACAGTAGGTTGTAGGATGCGTTTCGTGAATCCACGTGAATCTGTTCTCCAAAATTGAGCAAGAGGGATGCTCCAATAGTACAACACTGCAGCAGTACGAATAGGATAACGAGAGTATTTTAATGACTAACGTGAATGATTAGATAGATATCAATGCACCGAAGGGGAAACGATAACTAGATCCGCCCGTTTTTACACTTCTGGTTTCAGAGAGAATGTATCAGTTTACATGTTGGTCAGTGCGGGGTACAGACCGGAAATGCATGTTGGGAGCTATTCTGTCTGGAACATGGAATCCAACCCGACGGTCTTTTGCCGGACGGAAATCTACTACAGTTTGCCGATGACTCGTTCCAAACGCTATTCTATGAAACTGGTGCAGGAAAATTTATTCCTCGAGCCGTTTTGGCCGATTTGGAACCGACAGTGGTGGATGAAGTGCGAACCGGAACCTATCGAAAATTATTTCATCCGGAACAGATTATCTCTGGGAAAGAAGATGCCGCGAACAATTATGCCCGGGGACATTTTACCGTGGGTCGGGATCTTATGGATCTTGTGTTGGACCGAATTCGAAAATTGGCCGATCTGTGTGGTTCACTGCAAGGGTTTCTGATCTTTCATTCGTTCGGCGGTGGAACCGGTTCCGGGTTCACGGCTCTCCTCATGGAGCGTTTGGCCTCTGATTATGGGAAAAAGTCCAAATTGGAGTTTTCGGTCTATCCGTCCCCACGCGTCTCCTCGTCTGTTGTCGAACCGTACAATGCTGTGTTCAATACACACACAACATTGGAATTATCCGATTGCGCATTCATGGTTGATAATGAGGCCCTGTATGACGTATGCCGGTAGGTTGAGTGCTAATTTTGTATTCGTTCATTCAATGACTTTTTCTGCCTCTTTTTGATTCTATAGACGAAATTTGGATGTGTACCGGCCAACATTTACGAATATCAATCGGCTCATTGCCCAGGTGATCAGTAGCCTCACAGCTGCATTACGATTTGATGGCTGTCAAAATGTGGATCTACTAGAATTTCAAACCAATCTTGTACCATACCCCCGGATTCACTATCCGCTGACCACATATGCACCGACAGTATCTGCCGAGAAAGCTTATCACGAGAAACTGTCGATCTGCGAACTGACTAGTTCGTGCTTTGAACCGGTCAATCAGCTAGTCAAATGTGATCCACGACAGGGGAAATATATGGCTTGTTGTTTACTCTATCGAGGTGATGTTGTTCCCAATGAAATTCATGAGTCCATATGCTGTTTAAAATCGAAACGGACAATTCAGTTTGTGGACTGGTGTCCGACTGGATTTAAAGTTGGCATTAACTACCAACCGCCGACCGTAATCCCCGGTGGGGATTTGGCTAAAGTACAACGTGCCGTGACCATGTTGAGCAATACGACCGCGATTGCGGAGGCATGGGTACGTATGGATCACAAGTTCGATGTCATGTACGCGAAACGAGCGTTTGTACATTGGTTTGTCGGTGAAGGAATGGAAGAAGGGGAGTTCGCCGAGGCTAGAGAAGATTTAGCCGCATTGGAAAAAGACTACGAGGAGGTTGGTTATGATAGCATTTTAGAAGAGGACGAAGTCGAATACTGATTCGGTCAGATTGGTTGTGTGTACACACAATCGAAAACCATCGGACTGTTTCCGTATGCCTGTGTGGGCATGTCACACACACACTGTGTAACACAATGGTCAATCGTTTACTGTCCTATATTGTCCCCTCCCCTCCCACTCTAGATGCATTTCTATTACGATTAGACACGTAATAGAATGAGATCGATCAGTGTCACAAATCCGATACGATGGTGCGTATTGGAAGACTTGTCGATCGATTGAACGTTGTTGTCTATTGCCCTGTCGGACAGTTACGACAGATTCAGTCTGTCGTAATGACTCAGCTCGATTACTGTTCACTTGGTTGTCCACCCTTTGTGGTGTGATAGAACAGATCGATTGCTGATGTACAAACTACTGTCTTCTTTTTTAACTGGGATCCAATCGGATTGCTGGGAATAAAGGACGGGACTGTGATCATAGCGATGAGGTTTATTCTCTCGCTACTGGGGATAGGATGGCAATTCTCACAACCATTAGCCTTGCACGAGTCTGGTGGGGTAACCGGACAAGCAATGCTAAGGTTAGGTGTAGAGTTTTAGGCATTCGCGCTCGTCCATTGGAGCAAGTGATCGATCTCCATGGATTACATTGGTTGGGGCATGTTTTGCGCTTGTCACCAGACAGGTTACGGCGAGCGATGTTTGCCGAGGCGGGTAACGGTTGGAAGAAAGCCAAGGGCGGTCAAACTAAGACCTGGCATGAGGGTATGAAAACCCTTACCAGGAGATTAGGTCACATAGGCCCCTTTTAGACTCCCTGGTTGGGGACCCCGAGATGATGGTCATCGATGGTTAGAGACACTGAGTGAAATGGCTGGGTGTTGCAAACAGTGGCGCTCGTGCATCCACTCATTATTCTCCTAACACTAATCTATTTGAATTCCCCATCTTCCGCTTGAATTTGTTTTCAACACTGTATTCTTCATTCTGTCTTTTTATCCAAATGGGGCACCAAAAGACGGCACGAAAGTGAATGGTTAATGGTCGTAAAAACTGAACTGCACCGTATGCGCCGGTTTCGGGATTCTGTCTTTCGGCCAACCATTTGGTCAGACAATACTGCAGTAGCAAATAAGAAAAGTAGAAGCTCTCGGCTGTACCAAGATACAGAATGCAGGTAATTTCACCGCAACCGTAGATTCAGTTGATGCACCAGTCTCGTTGGTTATGACACTCAGTCATAGCTTCTAGTATCCATTATTATCGAGCAGACTGACCCCTAGATCCCCAAACCGGAAGCCTCACAGGTCATTACATTTATTCCGTCGGTTCGGGTTTTCACAGCTTCTGTACTAGTTTGGTTACTTACTACCTGTTTCGGCAAGCATTACACATCGAAGGTACCCATCAGATGATGTGTGTAACACGCCGGAACCATCACAAACTATGGAGGTCAAGTAACTGAGAAAACTCATACTTTCTTCCTGTCCCCCACCTCAAGCCTACCGCACACACCAAATATCCCGATGAATCTGGACGACCAGACTAAGAAACCACTTCGTGAACATTGTGAATTTTATCTCCGTGGGATTCGAACCCACGCATGGATGTCGCCTACGCTTGCATACGAACGCTGTATTAGCTGAGCTACGAATCCACATCGATAGCACTGATCTTTTCACATTCCAGTTACCCGTTCAACTTACGGAATCATATGGCACGATGAAACTTGTCTTAGAAGCTCATTC